AAGATGCTGTGGAGGAGATCTCACCAGCACGAACAGAGCCAGAAAGGGGAGAGCTGTTTTCTCACAGACCTACTTCTGTCAGTCAATCAAAACTTGCTCACACACACACACACAAACACTAAACACTCCACTAACATTTGGTAAACCACAACAAATATAAGAATATTAGAAGAAAAAAAGGGCAGGAGTTTGGATAAATAAAAAATCCTGAATCCTGGAAAGAGCTCTAAATGAACCATATTGAACTGGAACAGTGATGTGCACAGTGACAGTTTGTGCGTGCTTCTGTTTACATTTGTATAAACTGTATTTGTATTTGAAGGTTAAACTTTCAAAAAGTTGTTGGCTTATTATGCTGCACCAGAAGGAAATGCTACATCTCCTGTAGGATTTTATGCAAACGCTTAAACACATACAGAGGAAACCCAAACAGTCATAGGCAACCCAGTGCACACACACTTTACACACCCTTACATTCCAGCACACCTTATCTGCCCTGGCAGTGTTGACTGACACCCTCCACTTTAGGAGATTAAGTGTGCTCATGCTGTGTTGGCACAGCTTGACACCCATTTATCCTCAAAACTCATATGGAGCGTCTCGGTTAGCCCTGTGCCAACCATGTGCACATACACATCACCATGTTTATGCCACCAAATTTCACTGTACACACACCTGCTGTTTTGAATAACTGAATGTAAAACTAGCTAGTATGGATTTGTATCTGATGGTAATGTGGTCATTTAATGGTGAAACTGTTTGAGCTTGAGATGTGAAGGCTCTGAGAATATTTTTCTTTGGGTTCATGTTTTCCATCTAACATCAGCTGTTTGATTGCTACACACAAAGGAGGAGCCTGTGGCATGTGTGGTTCTAACAGCAGCACATTTAAACAGCATCCTAAAAATACACGCACAGGCCATCTGGATATATTTGCAGGGTCCAGATAACTTGCTGGCAACTGCTGCTCCTCTATTTCACATTAATATTATTAATTTGAGCATTTTACAGCCTGCTGAGCTAATGATGGGGTCTACATGAGGAGCCTTTACACTGAGCATTTAAGATTTTAATTTGTTTTAGATCACAATCAGTTTTGGACTGCTGGTCTTGGTTCTTGGTTTTAAATGTGGTATCACAGGCTGACGGCAAATGTCTGTGTAAAGGTAGCTGTGTGTTGGAGCTCTTAAATATGTCCTGAACCACTTTTTTTTTCTTCTTTTTTTGTAGCCTTTGCAGACAAAGTTTTGATCACCAACCAAGCAAATGGGAAGAGTCTAACAGGTTCCATTTGTGCAGTTTGAGACTCAGGGATTAAAAGATAAAACTGTGTTAATCCTAAAACATCAACTGTCCTTTTTTCTCATAGATTACATCAAAGGTCACGTCAAAGGATGACTAAATTATGTCCACGTCCATCCCTTTTTCTTCTTTTACAGAAGTGAAATTACTGAAACCTGCACAAAACCCAGACTATGAGCAATAGTGTGTGTCCTTGTATAGGTAAACCTGTGTGGATCCATACACACCATGGGAACAGCAGTTATGAAGGGATATCACATATGATGGACGGATGGTTAAAGTGAAAAAAGGAGAGGGACTTTATGTTGGGTGGTTCGAGAGTGCTCCCGGGGCAGAATGATGAAGGGACTCTACGAAGGACAGATGAGGATGAGATTCTTAAATCAATACCATCCAAGGGTGTTTTGTTATTAACGCATACAGCGAGGAGCCCACGCTCGATACTGCTCACCTGACTGCTCAGGCTTGCATGTTCATACACACACACACACACACACACACTCACACACTCACACACTCACACACTCACACACTCACACACTCACACACTCACACTCACACACTCACACAAACACCTCTGCCTCTGTTTTTATCTCCTTTTCTCCACACTACATTTGGACGCACCACAGTTCTCAATCTGTTCCCTTAGGTTCACCTACAGTGTACAGAGGGGAACTGGCTCAGGGGCCCAAAGGATTTAAGGCACTTTGTCTATTAACACGACAAAAGTAAATGCTATATTTGATTAAAATACTGCAGCAGATATGTGTCATATGAAACAGCATTGTACCATAATGAGACACCGATGTTGAGCTAGCGAAGCTGGAAAATGTCTGAGTGCATAGTGTTGTTGTCCAACAAGACAGGATTTATTTATATTGTTCAGTTATATGTTTTATTTTGAGAACGCGTGCTAGGCTATAAGAGTTAACTGTCAAAACTGAACACAATTGTATTTGTCTCACAATTGTTTTGCTCTTATCTTTGCGTCATTCTGACTGTAAACCCAACAGCCGCCCATAAATGAAAATTGTTTCATTAACCTCAATAGATTTCTCTCTGTGCACACTGTAGGAGCCTGTGGCCATTTATCTGCCAGTGTCTAATTATTCATTAGGAACACAGAGAAAGAAGCCGGGGAAAAAATAGCTGTGCATATAGTGCAGCAGACCAGCTCTACTCTTCAGTCTGATGCTCCTCCTGTCTCAGTTGTTCCTTCCTGTGACTCTTTCTGGTTTCATCTGGATTTCCATGCATATCGGTAAGGGATCAAGTTACTTTCTTAATACAGTTTTTTTTTTTGTCATTGGCATTGAAATAAGGCAAGGCTTGTTCGGGTCTGGCTGACAGGCTTGTTTTGCACAAAGTCGCCAACAGGGGGCACTGTTGGCATTGTAGCACACACATCAAAACCCAAGCCTGTTACCGATATGTGTACTTTATGTTAACACACTTAACACACACAAAAAGAAGCCTTTTCTAACTGGCTTTGTCAACACTGATGTAAGTGAAACGACAATGAAACAGTTTATGTGTAATTATTTAACCTTCAAAGTTAATGGTTCAGATTGGGAATGTAGAGAGACTTTAATACTTTAGTTCTACATAAATAATCATTAATGCTGAAAAGCTTAAGGCTTCTATTAAGAGCTGCATGTCTGTCATTACTGATGCCTCTCACCTACAATGCTCAGTGGCAGTGGGCTCCAGCAGATGCTATTTGTTAGACAAGACTGTCATCTAGTGGTGCTGGCTGTGTCACACATATCTGCTTGATCAACACAAGCAGCATCAACATGATATAATAAAAACTATACTCTAATTTCGCTTAGCTTTTTGGAAGTGATTACTTTTCTGCAGCCTGTCTACATATTTAGCATGGCTGTAGCCAACATGATATAGCAGGGATGGGCAACTTTTGTCACAGCAAGGGCCACATTCAATTATTTCTCACTACCAGAGGGCCAAATAGGAAACAACAACGATTACAGTCAATTATGTCTCTAATTTAACTTATACCAGTGATCAAATATTATTATGGACATCTCTCTGGTGATCATGATTTAATGACAGATTTTGACTTGTTTTCTTCATGTTTCCAATTAATTTATATATAAATACTGACCTTAGGGCCAGGTTGAGGGTTGATGGAGGCCACATGTGACCCCGGGCCACCAGTTGCCCACCCCTGTGATATAGCCTAACAACAGTCATAAAGAGCTGCTGTGAAATGCAGAGGACATTAGCTAATAAAAATCAAATTCACAACAAATAGTTACGAAGGAGAGCAATGAGCTCAGACAAAGTGATATTTATGATGTCCTGTCAAACTCTTACTTTATTTGAAAATGGTCAAATTGAGAAAATAAATGTAGGTAATAGGCATACATGTGTGTTTTCTACTGTACTGAACTTAAATTGGCAGGATGGCAGCTATTATTAAAATATAGGCTATGTCTTTTTATAGTCTGTGAGGTTTATCATAAGTTTGTGTTTCTAAACGAAGTCCAGAACTTCTCTCCTGAAGGTTTTATTCATCTTCTATCTCACAGCTGATTCAGTTTGTCGCCTGCTACCGGTCAACCAATCAGCCTTAAGCGTTTAAATGGAGCAGGGCAGGGAAGAAAACTGCCGTGTACTTACATTAAATAGCCTGCAGGTGGCGCCATTGCTCTTTGGAAACTGTTAACCTTCTCGTGAGACTGTGAAGTCCCTGACTGCACACAGGGTTAGCAGAGCAGAGAGTCAGCGCAATGGGCAACTTTGTAAGCAAAACAAACTGTAATGAAAATAAAAGCGTCCTGCCTGTTATCATTGTCTGGATTCAGTTTAAGCCTTCATACAGTGTTTTCTTAACTTGAAGACTTTTTTTTTAATCTCAGCCACTATGATATGAACATTTCCTGATGACACTTGTGTTTACACATGTATGTTGACACATTTAGCATTTGGCCATGTGAAAATAGCCTAAATACAGTATTAGTTCGTGTTATAATATTGGCATGATTATGCATAGCCTCGACTGTCGCGTTTGTTTAAAAATATATGAATGAGATTGAACTTTACCAATCAAAATCCCAATTATTATTAAACCTATTTGTCCGCATTTCCATTAGGCTTGCGCTAATAAGGTTATTATATTGTATTCTTGTGTCAGCTACATCTAGCAATAATGTATCATTAAAATATATTCATTTGATTGAATAAGATTTGATCTAATCATTGCATTTGACTCACAAAAGAGCTACTTGAAATCCACCAGCGCCTTTTCATAAGAAGTCGATGGTTGTTTATAGAATTTATCTGAGAAGAGAACATAGAGTCCTTCCCTTTTCGTCCATAAAAAAACACTTTTATTTTATTTTTATTTTTTTAAATGCCCTTATTATTTTATTTTTTTACACGTGGGCGTCTCTCTTATTAAAGACTTATAGTGCTCCGAATGATACACAATTTATAATGTGCTTCATTTAGGTTAAACAAAATCAAAATAAATCAATAGCCTATGCTTAATGTTTGTGTAATTAATTTAGAGTTAACACCTCTATCTATCTATCTATCTATCTTTCATTGTCCTTGATACATACTATATGTGGTAGTGTTTAGTGTATGGTTTATAATATATCATAGAAATATGTTCCACGTGGTCTGTATATTCCACATGCATACTCCTCATTGAATAATCTTTTACCACCACATTTCTTTAAAATAACATTTATTATTTCCAGCATATTCATACAATGTGACAGCACAGCTTGTAACATTTGAAGAGGAACGGACTCGATCCAGCACTTTGCCACAAAATATTTGAGCTGACTAACAGATAAATGAAAAGTCAGATATAGCATAGCATTTTATATTAACAAACGCAATATATAATACAGGTAGTTGGAAATGAGCTAAAAGAAAGGTGAGACAAGTGAAATAATACATAAGGAAAACGGGGATGTCATTTACATATCATTAGTTTTACTCACATTCGGAAATAGTATCAACAATCGTTAAGATACATGTTAAAATAACTTAATTTCTTCTTATTTTATATTTCATGTGTGTGACTGAAAATCAGAGTATTTAAAATTTAATTATAAAAATGATGTGTACTCACTTCATGTAAATTTTGGATTTAAAAATGCATAAATCTGATTGAAGATTTATTCGTTTCTTCATTTAATTTTAATCCTGCACAATTCAGATAGTCGGTAATACAACATGTTTATGTTCGAGCATTTACTTACTGGGTCGTCTTTTCTGCTTTCCCAGCTGATTTCTTTTTAATCTATAAATATGTTCAGGTCTTTTATTTTATTTAACTGGAATACACCTTAACGTGGGGGATGTCATCCAAACATTTGCAGTCAAACATAGAAAATTGTTTTTGAAAGTTACACATTGTTGAGGTTAGATTCCCCCCCTCTCAGGCCATTTGACTACAGGCCGGATAATCTTATTATTTACAACAGCCTGTAGCCAAAACACATGACAGATTTTCTGCAGAACATTCAACACTTGTGGCTACAAACACAGAGGAATGTGTTTCTACGTTCAGTCCGCCAGCCTCACTGCTTCTCTGGCGTGTTGTTGACCAGAGGCCCGTACAGGCCACTGGCGTAGCCTTGCTCCTTGTGTAACATTGTCCGGTCCCGGATCAGGTCGCTAAAGGCGTAGTCCATCGGGGGTCTGAAGCCCAGGGCGGGCATCAGGCCGGTGGTGGAGTAGGGCGTCATGAAAGCCAGTCCCCGGCTGTGCGCGGAGTAGGCCAGCCGCAGCGGGTTCAGTCCCAGGTGGGTGCCCAAAGAATAGGTGCTGGGGTCGGCCCCGAAGTGCGGGGCGTTGGGCTGCAGAGGAGAAAATGCAGAGCGGTTGCTGAGCGTCATGGCGCCGGGGATCATGGGCCTGGTCGAGGCGGTTGTGGATGTAGAGGATGGCGGAGCCTGCTGTGCGTTTTGGAGCATCCTCTCTGCCGTCCACGTCTCCTCCTGACCGGGTTTGTTGGGGCCCTGACCGCCGCTGTTGTTGAGGATCTGCTCGATAGCCTGCACCACGTCTTTCCCGCACCCCTGTAGCACCAGCTCCAGCACGCTACGCTTGTGGCTCGGGAACACCCGGGTCAGAATGTCGATGGCGTTCATGTGGCGGGAGGCCGCGGAGGACGGGGACGCTTCATGTTCGTCTTTGTCCGTCTCAGAGCCGGAGTCAGAGCCGAGGGAGCTGATGGAGCCGGGGGTTTCTCCTCCGTCTTTTAAAGGCTTGGAGACAGGAGAGCTGATGAATGACTCGCTGTCTCCGTTCTCTGAACCCGAGCCTCCGTGCCTGCCGTCCGGGGACGAGATGCCCGGGGCACAGTCACTCTCGGTCGAGGCCGGTTTCCCCGCAGCCTGCTGAAGGGTGGCGGAGCCGGAGAGCTGGCTCTTGGTAAACAGATCATACTTCTGGATACTTGAATCTAGTGACACAAAGGGAACATCAGTGTGTAAGACAGGGGGAAAAAATATGGCAACTTATGAATGATACATTGGCCTAATAAAGTTAGCTCGGAAGTCATCATTAGACCAGTGCGTTCTCCAGCAGTCTGGAAATAAGACTATTATATTATACAGTATTTGAGGAGGTAACATTTAAACTGCTCTCACTCTACCAGTTTCTAGGTTAAAAAAATTAGACAATTTCAGTTTTCATCAACAATAAGCAAAAAAAATGTATCGTGTCTCTTCGCTATCAATGACCCATTGCCAATTTAAGATAAATGGAAGACGTTATAATCAAACATTTTGATGTAACTGACAGTGTATCAAGTTAACCCAACTCCGTCTTTTATTTTACAACGCATTTCTGGACCAGTTTGAATGCTATTTATGAACCCATTCTGAAGTAACCGAGGACTGACTGACACTTCTTGACATTCACGCGTAAAGCTGCTCCACTCACCTGAGTTACTCTCGCTGCTGACAGATCCAAACACCTCATAGTTTGGACGCGGAGGGATGATCCCGTTAGCGGCAGCCAAAGCAAGCCCCTCCGCCGTCCCGTAGAGCAGCTGGAGCTCGCGCGCTTCGTTCTCCTCCTGCGCCTGCTGCCGCCTGAGCGCCACCTGCGCTGCCATGACGCGCTGCCGCTCGGCGATCAACGTGCACTTGGCGCACATACAGTCCTTCCAGCGACAGTAGCGCTTGTGGCCCTTGAGCGCGGACACTACGCCGTGGTTCCTGCAGCGGGCACACTTCGGGGTGCGCGGGTATTTGTCCGCGGCCCGCAGCAGCAGCGGAGGCCCGCGCAGCAGGTTGCTGGCCATGGACACCGGGATGTTGGCTGCTGCCGCCGCTGCTGCCGCTCCAGGGTGGAGTGAGGAGGCGGAGGAGACTGTGGGGAGATCAGGTCTCAGATCCATAACCGCCAAACTCACTGATTGAACTAAATTATAAACAAGAAAACTGCGATGCTCTCAACGAATTGTGGTGAACTATTTTATAAGACGTTCACATCTGCACAGCGGTTGTGAACATCTCTTGGCAACAGGTGAAGTCAACTACTGGCGAGGTTGCCTTGCAAAAAATAAATGACCGAAACTCTAAAGGAACGTGTTGGAGGAGTCTGCAGAAGAAGAAAAAAATATGATATTGTGGAGTTTAGATCCGAATAGAGCAGGAGCGTAGAGATGCGATCAGTCCTCCCCAACAGAAAGTTTAAAGTGTCCGGGAGGAGCCGAGCTTGTTACTCACCGCAGCCTGAGACACTAACCTCCTCCAGAGATTGTCAGTGGATACAGATCCCTCTCTCCCCTCTCTATTGTTGCTCCTACGTTTTCATTAGACAAATTTGACAACAATGTGGCGTCTGTCATTGGCCAAAAGGGGAAGGAGCGATCTGATTGGCCTGCCCCTTTTTTCAACTGTGTCCACCTGAGTGCTTCTTCCAAATATCAAGTGTTAAGAATCTGAAGGGAGTTCCCGTAAAGCTAAAATCGATGCAGTGTATTTAAAAAAAAAAAAGAAGATTTTTATAGGTTTTAAACAACAGCTTGTTTCATTCAATTTACTCTATCAAAGGATGGTAAGAAAACAAAACAATTAAAACAGCCCTTAAATTGGGGAACATTATAATTACTTTCAACAACTTTATATATGTTTCTCAATAAATATTCCCATCCTTTTTATTAAGTCTCCAGATGTGGCGATGCAATTATTGAGAAGCTAGTTTGAGATCCCCTGAGGAAAGAAGATGAAGCGTCACTTTCTCGTCAGAATTGGATGGTGAGTATCATTTGTTTTATTGATTGAAGCAGAAGAACATTTCATCAATTACAAGACAGTCCATATTTACAGAGTTATTGAGAGCAGAATGTGAAGCTGTTGATGTTAAATGTTTAACCTGTACTCTCCACTCGGCTGCAGGAAAGCTACGGAGTGCTTAAACCCCTTGTCTCGATGTCATTACTCTTTAAATGACTTGAAATTCAATTTTAGTTGAATGTTTTTAAACTAAATTCATTCATGAGATTTTTTTTTTCATAGTAAGCACGCTTCCACCTTGTCTCTGCTGCGGCTATTAATGAGTATAATCCAAAATACTTTGGATCTAAATTTATTTTAGATGTGGTCCGCATAAAATAATCTCTGTATAGATTTTTGTATAATAAATGTGGACTTAATGAGCATACCAACCCCAAAGGCTTTTCCTGAAATGTTATGGTAGAGTATCTTTAAATGCACGGAGGTACCAACAGTTATTTGATCTTCATCGCTTTTGTTTTATGGTTAAAAATGTTGTTTTTTAAAGTTGATTTATTTACATCTTCTTCTTAATAGCCCTCCGCGCTTTTGAACACAGATAAAAAAAAACCCTTAAAACAATTATGTTTCCTTATCTTTTATGAATGTTTGTGAATGTTTAATTATGAAATGTATTTAAGAAATTAAAGAACTTACACATAGGCCTACATAATTCAAATTTTAATTTGTTACATTATTTCAGGATTTTTAAAAATATCTCTACTTTCTCACTTAGTGTCCATGTTGTTACAATAAGTATCATATACGTTAAAGTCATCTTAATGTTACTACGCATCAATTCTGTGCTTACTTTTATTGTAAATCAAATTGGAACCGCTTATTATTTTAATGATAATTATTTTAATTATTTTTTATTATTCGGTAACGAAAGTCTTAAATTAAAGTGTAATTTCTTTATTTTGCATCATACTAGAAAAAGGGCTACATTGCACTTCTCTCTGACGGAGAAAAAACTGTGGTCTTAAATTATTTTTCCCCCTTTTTTTTTTTTTTTTTTTTTCAAAATTGTCCTGGTAAAAATATTTCTATGTCTCTCAAAGATTTCCTGTGTTGTACTGAAATGATATAAAACAGCGTATGTGTTATGCTGTGGGTGCTGTGTCGCACAAATAAACTGCCTCACATAAGATTTGAAAGAGTTCACGCGCAGAGAGCTACAAAAGGGCACCTCGCTCGAACCACCTGCTTCCTCACCTGTTCGCTCAGGAGAGAATTCACGCAGATATTTGAAATCAGATTAAAAAGTTATAGAAGTTTTTGAAATCAACAATTGTCTGTCCCTTGGAGGACGACAACAGAGTCTTAGTGACGAAGAACAACAATAACTTGGGTCTGATGAAGATAAAAAAGCTGCCCCCCCCCCCTTTCTCTCTCTCTCTCTCTCTCTCTCTCTCTCTCTCTCTCAGGCTCATTGTTTACTTTCTGAATCACTGTAAGCAAATGCCATCTGTTTCCTTCGCCGCTGTCATCTGCACCTTAATTACCTAGCCAACAGGCTAATAGAGACGATATTAAAACTACATCTTTTTGACATTCAAAGTAATTATCTGCATGGGCGACGAGCTCACTCGCAGGAGGAAATTTGCCCGCGTCCTACGTGCGTAAAGTGATAGTAGCAAACTGCCGAGGAGGCCCACTGGAGAGAGAGTAAGCGTCCTATACCTCAGGATTGGATGACGTCAAGATAAAAACAGACTGTCCTTTCCATTAGTCCGGCTGCTTGTTGTTCAGAGGACAACTTTGGCTGATGTCAGCTCGTATCATTAAAGTCCAATTTTGAGAAGACTTTAATTAATTATTGGCCTGACAAGTGCTCATCGATATGTAGGCTATAAGTCCCCCACAAGAAAATATCCGTGTTGAATATGATCACATTTAATTTTATATAAAAAGTATCAACTGAAATTAACTCCGGCCCTGAGTTCATCCAGTGTGAACAAACTTTATCTTTTGGACGAAGCCTATACAGAATTTTCATTTCTGACAAATGTGCATTGTGACAGGGATTTTGTTCTCTATTATTTCTCATTGGCCAATTAAAAATGCCCCCCGCGCAATTAAAAGTGACTCCGCGCACTTCAAAAATCCAACATTCTTTTTACCACTTCATTAGGCCTATGCATAAAAAAGCTTTCATTTCTTTGAGGAAGGCTACAGACGAGTGGGTTTTTAACACCCTTTTAAGATGACAACAAAGGCCATGCTTGACCCAACATATGTAGCAGCATGTTTCCGCTGCCCCCGCACCCCGGCGCGACATTCTAGCGGCATCTCCCACCGCCGCTGCCCCGCCTGCAGCCCGGCTGGGCCCGGATCCCCTCCCGCGCTCTCCCGCTGCAGCAGCCGGCTACGGCACACAGAGGCAGAGGTTAGAGTAGCAGTTAGACAAGAGGCGGAGGAGAAAAGAAACGTACGGGGTGTTACACAGAAGTATTTACACGCTTGACGGGCACACCGAGAAGGACCGGCCTTATACACAAGAGGCTTCTTAACCTGCCACTTCACACCAGCTCCACCGCGCCTTGGACACGGAGCAGTATTAACGCATTCCTGCAAGGCCAGAGTCAGGGAGACAGAAAACACTTTGTTGTGGAAGTAAAGCTGTAAAACGATTACACGGTACAATAACAGAACTTCACGCATGTAAAAATTCTCTTGGAACCATAATGCAGGCCTAAACATTAGGCTATTAACGAATAGTGACGTCAGTCAGTCAGTATCAGCTCTTAGACAAATTTTGAGGCGAATCATTTATTCTACAATTCTACAATTCTATTCTAATTTATGAGCAAAAGTAAATATCCCCCCGTATTCAACATTTATTTAAATTCAATTAAAATGGTGTCCATAATGCACAAAAAGAGCCATTGCGATAGTAATTATTAGGTTTTTATGAATGGATTCTTTACGAATGGATTTTGTTATTTTAGGAATGATTTTAACGTTTTCGTTGAGGTGCAAATGATTGTGTGCAGACCAAACTCAAATGTTTACACATTTGATCCATTCAAATTATTATTATTTTTAATAATGTATCAATAATTAGAAAAACTGCTGTTAAAATAGCATTGGAAAAAATAGTACGTATGTCAGAAAGTAGCCCAGACCCACACTTATATACGTGGTAACATATGAAGTATTAAGTCACAAGAGATTAAAACACGCACATTGAACGTGCATCAGTCAAAAAGACCCACAGATGAGTGGGTTTGTATTTGAGCAGGAGTGGCTGTGCAAGTCCCGGCGCTGCAAACACTCGAGGTGAAGAGGCAGAGAGGTCTGTCAAGCATCATCTGCACGCGCTAGAATAACACTTATTGGTAAATGGGGATCACCCTGCCATGGCGTATGAATATTTCAAAGATTTGAAGGGTCCCTCTTTGCCAAAGTTGTTGGCCGGCACTCAGGCAATCGCTCTCTCTCGCTCTCTCTCTCTCTCACACACACATGCACACGCACACGCACACGCATGCACGCACACACACACACACACACACACACACACACACACACACACACACACACACACACACACAATAGTAGGCTATCGTTTTTTTTGCCCCCGAGCTAGGTTGGCAGGGATTATCTTTGTTTAATGAATGGGCTACAAGTGTTCATCAACACTCCGAGATTATGGGCTCTCTCGCTCTCCCTATAGTAGCATATAGGCCTAACTCCAGCCTCAGTGTGTGTGTGTGTGTGTGTGTGTGTGTGTGTGTGTGTGTGTGTGTGTGTGTGTGTGTGTGTGTGTGTGTGTGTGTTAATAAAAAGACAGAGAGACCGAGCTACACACTGCAGCCAATTAAAACACTCTTCCCTGCTCGATCCCTCCACATCTGCCTCCCTTTCTCCAGCAGCAGAAAAGAAGGAAGCGGATGAATAGGCGCTCATTGAGATCACAGATGGAGTATGGCTTTCTTTTTGCTCGAAATTTGAGAAACACCATTGTCCCCAATCAAAACTCAATGTGTTCGCCTACAATGGTGCCGGCTTTGAGCTCCGCCGCTTCAATTGGCCTTGTTTTTGAAACTTGAAGTGTTCCGCACAAAGACTTGGCCCTCCTAGATGTCACCACCGCTCATAGGCTCAGTATGTGTGTGCGAGTGTGTGTGCAGGGAGAGAGAGAGAGAGAGAGAGAGAGAGAGAGAGAGAGAGAAACACAATTAATATGAAGCTGTAATTACTCCCCTCCACGCCACTGCACCCATTCAGGACCCCACTGGCCCATTTATTGCTTTATCCCATGCGGCTGATAATCCGAATACCACAGGTTTTTATAAAGCCACATGTGAGGTGTGACTGCAGAGGAACTTTTCTCAGAATGAGCTGAGCAGCGAGCCGACGGAGGCCGAGAGTGATCATAAGTTTAGAGAAATTAATATTTGATAACAAATAAGGAACGATTCATTTACTCATAGTTTTAATAAAGAAGCCATTGACTT